GATTTATCTTTTTATGAACCTCGTATGAAAATCTTATCTGATTCTTATAAGACACTTATGACTGTCGATGGGAAATCTTAAACAATTTTATATAAGAACCTGATAAGATTCTTATAAGAATTTTATAAGATACTGATAAGAGACTTATAGGTTTCTGGTAAGATTCTTATATAAGAATCGATCTCTAGGGTGTATGATTCATTTTCCTTCCTTACTTCTCATTGGTCACATTGTTCACGCATAGAAACTATAGATTAAATTTGCCTTGAAAAACACACGTAGAAAATAGCGCCATTTCAAAACTGAATTTGAATCGAATAAAAGTTTGCTGCCCAACGTTTTAGACATCCCTTGTTCTAATGCGCTACTGGGCTTTGGTTAAAATCCCCCGTATAAAAATACGATTCAGCGCTAATGCAGTCAGATAGATCAGTTTTTTAAGGTACACGCCTATTGTTTGGAACTCTCGCAGAACGTCTCCAGCATTAGATAATAATTTCTGCCAAGAGGCATAACACTCTATTATTCCAACAGTGTTTAGGCGTATAAACATCGTTTGCATATTTATTTATTTATCAATAAAATTTGCTATTACGCCATATTTGCATTTCTTCTCTATTTTTATTTTGTTTATTGTAAACGGCGAACCTTATAATTTAAAGATGCACCATAAAACATCAAATTTGCCGGAGCCTGAAATTTCATAATAACTTGATAATTTTCATCTGATGTAAGAATTATTTGCTCATCCTTTGTTACTATTTCTGTCTCAACACCATCTATTATTCTGTAAAAATGCGGCATTTGATTACGGAATGTGCTGTCATTAGCGAAAAGAATTATAAATGGTTGACGTTGTTCTGTAAATTCTGTTTCAATTGTCATTGTTAAATTTCCGACATTGTAAGACCAAAACAACTGGATATCACTGCATGTAACATATTGGGTTTTACCAATATTAAACGAAGCTGATGGACATTGAAATTGTAATGTTCCAAAGCATGGATATTCGGTCATCGAAGAAATTGATGGTTTACATTCAATACCGTCATCATCAATTGCAGGTGCAGCATAAACAGTTGCTGTTGTTGCAAATAAAAATATCGAAGCAAGTATCAATGAAAATGACATTGTTGCTGTTTGACTGTTTATGGCAGTTTGTCAAAATAAATTCCAATATATAAGGATAATATTTCACAAATGTAATCATGATGAAGCTTATCACAATATATGTCCTTGAGAGGAACACAAAAAATAATTTTGTTTTTTTCAATATTAAAAATAACAGAAAATAAATTTCTCATCACTATGCCTGATGTAAGGTCATGATAAATAGGCTTTAATTTCTATAGGTCTAATAGAATCAAATATCATGCTCGTTCTACACATTACGCAGTTTTGTATGAGAATACTTGAGCATCAAATGATTATTATTCCACCTAAAGTAAATCATGGATGTACTTCCCGACGCCAAAAAATCAATTTCCGCGCTTTGATTTAGATGAACATTAAAATGAGAAATGACCTTTTTCTAAAAGCTAAATTTGGCCTTAGACGTATAACCAACCAACTTGATCAGATTCCATCATATGGTACTTTTCCTGGAAAATAGAAAAGTACTTACGTCTGGCGGGACGTCGTAGTTCACCATTAATCATACTTAATGAGTGGTGACAAGATTTTGAAAAAAGAAAAGCTTATTTTGCGAAACTTCAAAACTCTCTGTCGGAAATGGTTCAGCCACTATGGACTGCCTAAGTCCTGATGTATAAGGAATATTTCTCACGACAAGTTTATGGTAGATGCTTCATACCTTAGAGTAGTCTAGGCCTATTACTTCACGCAAAAGATGCGACAACAGCGAATGAACCGCGATCGGGACAAGACAACAGCTAATGAAGAGGATCGATCAATGACAATCGTGACCTCATAGCGATCGCGAAAATCGCGAATTATTTCGCGAGAATCTTCAAGAACAAATCTAGGTGAGTTTACTCACCTAGATTTATTCTTGAATTTTGAATTAACTCATATTCGAGTATGATTGCAGTTTCGTCTATAGAGTCCCAAGGTTCAGTCCTTGGACTACTTCATTTAATTTCCCTAAACGACTACCAGCCGCTACTGTCTAATCTTTGTCATCCGCTTTTATTTGCAGATGACTGTTCCTTTTTCATTCCCGTTTCTGCTCCGTCCAACTTTAGTCTGTCAGGCAAATATTGATCATATAAACTTATGATGTCGGTCGAATCTTATGTCGTTAAATTACAGTAAATATTCATGGTTGTTGTTTTTTTGCAGAGACCTCAGCACAAAGCGTATTCTTGCATTATAGACGACTCAGTGCCCACCACACCAAGAAATTATTTCTTAAGATAAATTCAGTTTGGTAAATATTTCTCAGTCTATCATTCATACATCGCTCATTGTTAGTCAAATGAGTGTAAAATGTGAGACTGCAGGTAGAACAACATTTCTATAGAATAATATCTTTTTAATTAGTGGTGTAACGAGAAAAACGACGATAGTACGGCGGCGCCATAGTTTTTTTACCGCTCAACAAATTTTTACCAAATTTAAAGTAAACAGAGAATACGATAGTGTGGGCTAATTGTTGTGCTCACAACACATCTTCGCTTTCAGTCAGTTAGTCTTTCTCATCATTGTTGCAGGCTAGGCCTTGTACAATAACATGGATAATTTTCTTGACTCACAACTGCTCTTACAGAGCTCAAACAGATCGCCCATAGCCAAAATATCCAATTTCTCATTAATACCACCATCCTCAATCTTGCCCGTTTCCATTGGATCCATACTCATAGCAGATTCAAAGTCCTCCGCTGACAAATCTCCCTCACGCGAAACAGAAGCTTTCTCATCCCTCATCGTGCAATAGCAGCTCTCCGAGAGTATTCTCGTCGTAGACTTTCTTGTTTTATCGGCATGGTCATTAGAGGTGTCCGATTATGAGGCTCTAACTTCACTCTTCAACATTTTCAGTTTATTAAAAAAAAGTAATCATACAATTATAATCCCTTTTGATCCTTTCTCGCTGTGTATATATGTAACAATACTAGAAAAGAGAGAGGAATGTGGAACTACGTGATGAGGGGATACAATAAAATGGTACGATAGAAGTGGTGTGATTTTGAAAGAATGATCAAGAAAAAGATAGGGAATGACTATCACATCTTATATGTGGAAGGTCTAGCTTGTAACAATGATGGGAATGACTAACTCAGCAAAAGTGAAGATGTTGTAAGCACAACTATTAGCCCACGCTATTGTATTCTCATGAAACCATTAGTCTGCAGTATGCTTGTTGTGGTTGAGTAGCATTTAACTCTAAAACCTGGTTTTTCGCCTCAGGCTTTCTGAAGGAAACTCACTGAGATCCCGTAGATAAGTGTATTGAATTCTGCCTTTTATCACCTATATCTCAAGGTTGAAACTGAAATTAGATAATTGATATCTTTGCTTTCGAACGGTGAAAGCATCGAATGGTAAAATAAAGAATTATAAATACCGTTTTATTTTTAAACATAGTTTGACGTTTCGTTAACTACTATTAACTTCTTCAGAAACATAGACAAACTTAATAGTGAGACTATAGTAGAAAATACTTATAAACACACACGGACGAAAAAGAATGAAAACATTTTCATTCTTAAGTAGTACTTGGTTGAACAAAAACCAAAATGTAAACAGTGAACAAATTCAACCGATAGGTATGAAAACAATATTGATGCCATACTATGGACGATTTTCTTTAGTCTTAGCTCATCAGATAAAACGATTAGTGGATCATCCGATGAAGAAAATTATTTTTGGCTTTAAAACAACAAAAGGCATTTCAACAGTATTTAGTTGGACATTTAAGGCAGAAAAGGATAAGAAAAAAGCTGTTTATCATTATGACTGCAAAGATTGTAATGGTTGTTACATTGGTCAAACAACGAGGGGAACTGAAATAGGAGAAAACGAACATAAGTAGGCTTTAAAAGGTATTGGTCATTCTAAAATTGCTGAGCATTGCCTTAACAAAAAACATCAGAACAAATGGACCGCTAATATTCTGGCCATTGAATCAAATAATACAAAAAGAGTAATCAAAGAAACTCTGCTAATGAATTACTTTTCAAAGGATAAAGGAAGAAATATTTATTCTCAAGCGAGTTACAATCTGGATGTATTTTGAGGTGTTGTACAAGAGAATTTTGGTTGCAAAATGAAATTTGTCAATTTAACAATGAAAACGTTTTCATTCTTTTTCGTCCGTGTGTGCTTATAAGTATTTTCTATTTTGATGTATAGTCTCACTATTTAGCTTGTTTCTGAAGAAGTTAACAGTAGTTAGCGAAACGTCAGAGTATGTTTAAAAATGAAACGATGTTGATAATTCTTCATTTTATCATTTGAAATCATATCAAAATTTGAGGTTTTAGAAAAGCATACCTCAAGATAAAATTGAGAGTTTAATTACTATTACCTATTACGTAATACATGTTAAATCCATGGCATCTATAACTGACTTATTGTCTGCCGTCGCATCGTCCTGTTATTCTAACATCATTTAAAAGCAATGAGTCCTCCATTTATTTTCGGTTTTCAAGATCGTACAGGTAAATAGGAAAACATTTAAATAGGAAAAAAAATCCTTTTTTGTTTTGATTTGTAGATGACACATACAGCTAGGAGTTGACAGAGTATGATTTTTAAATTCAGCTTTCATTTTCTATAGAAATGAGAATTTTTACGATGCCTTCCAAAAACTTTTCCGTAAATGAGACATTCAAAAATCGGACTCTGTCAACTCCTAGTCATAGGTACTTACTGCACAACAAAAGAAACTAACAACTATCATCATATATTCATTATCGGTCACAATTTCAAAAAATTAACGCTGGACAAATCGAGTCGATTGCACAACTTGAATCGTCCTGCAGAATATAGACTCACGAGGGAACCTATCCAACTGTCGGACGCCGTTTGACTCCATATTTTGGCTATAAGTAGGACTCAGTGAGACTAAGAAAATCCTAAAAGAGTTCGGGTCCATGACTCTTGAAGACCCCGTTTTCTGG